CGAAAAACTAGTTCGGCATCTAGGGGCCGCTTTAGTGGGCCCCAAAACCGTCAGAAACAGATCCCAGGCGGAAACTACGCCCGCGAGAAAGGGGAAACCCAAAGGTACGGATACCGCTACTGCCCGGTCCTCTCCCGGGGTGCGTTCTGACCAGTTCGAGGCGAATCCAGCAGTGGCGACGAGGGCCTCCCAGGAGGCCCAGAAAGGCGAAAACGAGGCAGGGGTATTGGCACCTTGTCCTCCTCCGAGGGAGAGGGGGGGGCTCGAAGTACACACCAGGCCGTCTCTGGTCGGCCAAAGGGCTCTATGCACTGGTACCCTAACTTGCCAACCTGTGGGCTGCTGGAGCGCCTGCACACGGGACTCCTTTGCCGAGCTCACTGGCCCCCTGTGTCGACCACACGACGTGGTGTACACATGGAGATCCCCTGGGATTCGACATCACGGGCCAAAAAAAAACGCAAGTGAAAAACCTCGACTGGAGCCCTGGGCCGCATCTTCCTGCGGCATTCAACAAGCTGGATCGACCCGTGTGGGCCCCCGGGCCCGATGCGAGGCAGAACCGCCCGGCGTGGCAATCAATGCGACGTCAGGATCTCGGCTGCACGCAAGAGTGACCCCAGGCAAGGATGATCTTCGGTCCGCGACTTTCGGAGGGCGCGCGGGGGGAGCGAAACCCGAGCGCGCACAAGCCGCTGCTATCGCATCCCGAGCGCGCACAAGCCGCTGCTATCGCATCGCGCTTCACCGTCTGGGGACCCCAGTGGGCCCGCACCAAAGGGCACTCCGGCGAATCGGTCACTCTTACGCGGAGCCAAGAATATCAGGGCCCTCGGATCCAACCCCTTGGGGAACCAAGAGGTACGGATACAGATACTCCCCGAACCTCTCCCGGGGTGCGTTCTGACCAAGATTTCGAGGCGAGTCCAGCGGCAACGACGATGGACTCTCGGCTACGGCTACGGCTACGGCTACGGCTCCGCACTCGTGGCACCATGAAGGCGCGGCGGAGGGGGCACCGAGGCGCCTGCTGAGGTACACCCGTGTGAAACCATGTGAAATGCTGCGTGGGAGGACCCCCCAAAACGGGTTGGACAGCAGGCTGGGGGCAGCGGTATGGGTCAGGACTGAATCTAAACGGTGCTTTTCGTTTTCGTTTTGTTGTCATTCTCCCTCGTTTTGTCTTCAATCCGCCTTTAACGCAAAACGAAATCGAAACGAAAACGGCCCACGAAATCGCCAAAACACCGTTCAGGTCCACCCCTGGCAGAGGGTACCGCTTCCATCTCCGACCTCTTGCGGCCCGCCGCTGCTCGCTGGCGCACCCGCGCAGCCCGCCGCCCCCCTGCGCGCTCGGCTCGCCTGCCGGCGCGGCGGCCTCGCGGGCCACCGCCGCGGCGAGCCTGCGCTGCAGCTCCTCCGCTTCGTGCCGGGCGGCGCCCCGCGCGTCGCCGAGCGCCGCGCGGTGCGCCTCGGCGGCAGCGGCGAGCTCGGCGCGCCCCGCCGCGGCGAGCTGCCCGCACTCGGCCTCCCAGCAGCCCGCCTGCCGGCGGGCCGCGAGCGCCTCGCGCTCGGCGCGGGAGGCGAAGCCGAGCGTCGGGGGGCGCCAGCTCCCAGCGCTCCGGCGGTGTTCTCCAGATGGGCTTGCTCATGGAAAGAATCCTGGCTCAGACCATGGAGAACTGGTCCATCGATACCCTCTGTTTCGCCATTGCATCGTCAAACTGTCAACCGTATGGCTTCCTCTGCATCCGCATGGCTTCCTCGTATCCGCATGGCTCCCTCGTATCCGAATGGTTCCTTCGTATCCGCATGGCTTCCTCGTATCCGCATGGCTTCCTCGGAACCACCTGGCTACCTCATCTTCGCATGACTTCCTCGTATCTGCATGGTTTCCAATGGCGAATCGATTAAAAAGAACAGAACAGAGCAGAGTAGAGCATCCGCAGGTGTGCCTGCACGGAGTGGGCGTGTTAGAAGGCGTTGTGTTGCCTATTGCCTGGGAGAAAGTTTGTAAGGGTTCCCCCCGCGCCGCACGCACCCCCCCCCCCCCCAAAAAAAACGTCCCTTTTGAAATCCCACCAGCCCTCTGGGCGCACATAGGTGGCCTAACGATATCTTTGTCCTCTTCCAAAAAAAAACTCTTCCCTTTGGGGAGGGGTACCCTCACCCTCCCCTCCCAAGGCTTTTTCGGGGAGAGGCCGCGAGTCATCAGAGGGCCCGTTTTCACGCAAGATGGCTCCAAGAAGGCATCTGATGCTCCAAGATAGCCTCCAAGATGCCTCAAGATAGCCATCATCATGCCTCCAAGAGGCCCCAAGAGGGCCACAAAACGGTTCCATGTGCTCTCGGCGACCCCTCAGGACCCCTCCAAGAGCCCCAAATCCTTTAACAACCAAAGGAAAATGGATAAGTGTTGCTGTCTCGCCGTTTCGCTTCCGTTGCGCTTTGGGGGCCTCAAGATGGCTCCAGGATGCCCCAGGAAGGACCCAAGAGGGGCCCCAGAGGCGCCCAAGACGGCACCAAGAGCGCCCAAGAGCGCCCAAGAGCGCCCAAAGAGGGCCCCAAGGGGGGTCCAAGAGGCGGTTTTGAGGACCCCAGGGGGGGACCTAGATCTGGACCCACCCTCCTTTGATCCAAAGCCTCCAAGATAGCCCCAAGAGGCGCTCCAGGGCTCCCAAGAAAGCCCCAAGAGAGTCCCAAGAGGGCGCCAAGACGGCCCCAAGAGGGCCCGAAGAGGCCTTCCAAGACCACCTCCTTGCTCCGAGAGATCTCTCCGTTCACCTTGGTTGCTCGCTCTATTTCACTAGATTTGTCTCTTCGCTCATTTTCCCGAAAGCTCTCCAAGTCAGGGTCTCTGAATGGGCTGGTGGGGATACTTGTTTGATCGCAAGCGTACCCGAAGACGGCGGGCGCCGTCAGAACGAAGCGTCGAAGCAACGGCCTAAATTAGCGCACACAAGAAGAAGGGCGAAAAGAAAAAAGAAAAGGCTGGTGGGGATACTTTTTTTGGTCGCGGGCAGACGCGTGAAGCTGTCGCCGAGAGGGGGGTCCGGGGCACGGGCCAGCCTACTGGTGGGGATACGCGAAGCGTGAAGAATTGTTTCCTAGCGGTTTGTTCGACCTCACGACGGCCAAGGTGACCCCCAAGACTGGTTCCAAGACAGTCAAGACGACAACAAAACGGCTCAAGATGGTCCAAGTCTCTCAAGAGAGCCTGAAGACCGCTCGAGATAGCACAAGAGGGCCTCAAGACGGCCCAAGAGACCCTCAAGACGGCGGGAAAGCTCCAAGAGCCCCAGACGGACCAAGAGAGCTATTGATTTCCCTTAGATGTTCGAATGATTTTAAGGTTCTCGCCTGTTTGGGCTTCCGACCACCCAAGACGGCCCAAGAGGCTTCCAAGAGGCCTCCAAGCTAGCTCCAAGCTAGCTCCAAGACAGCCCAAGAAGGCCCGAAGAGGGCCCAAAGTCGGCCCAAGAGGACCCAAAGATCGCCCAAGGGGCTCCCCGAAAAAGCCCCAAGACGGCCTTGAAGCGCCCCAAGAGAGCAACAAGACGGCCCAAAAAGGCCTCTTGGGCTGTCTTGAGCGGTCGGAAATCCAAACACACCCAAGCTCAGAATCTTTCAAAACCCAATGACAAGCAATGGTTTTGGCCTCCTCTGACTCTCCTGGAGGGCCTCAGACCTCTTGGGTCGTCCTGGGGTTTTCTTGATCTGTCTTGAGCACAAGCTTGTCGTGCCAAGTCCAGCCAATGCGGTCCAGCCCACTCAAATCACCCCAGCTCAGCCTAGGCCACCCCACTCCAGCCCAGCCCAGTCCACCCCAATCCAGGCCAGTCCACCAGTCCAGTCCAGTCAAGTCCACCACAGTCCACGCCAGTCCAGTCAAGTCCAGTCTAGTCCAGTCCAGTCCACTCCATCCCAACCCAGGCCCAGTCCAGACCAGACTGGTCCAGTCTAGCGCAGGCCAGTCCCACCCACCCTGGTCCAGTCCAATCTTACTTCAGTCCAGTCTACTCATGTCCACTCCTGTCCACTTCATTTCAATCCCCTGATCTATGTGGAGTATGCGCTGGCTGATCTTATGCCTGTCCATCCGGGCGCTTCTTTTCGATGCCGGCCTCTGGGAGCCGCCCGGGGGCACCAGGACCCTCAAAACCGGATCCTGGGCCAAGACCTGCGTGGCCCCAGGGAACAGGCCGTGAGATCTCAGGCCGCGGACGTCCTGAAACCACGCCGGCGGATGTCTGGACCGGGCGAAAGGGGGGGATAGCAAAGGGGGGGGGTTCAGAATCAGCTCACGTAGCTGAATTTCCTGGCGCCTCCCGGCGCTGGGAGACGCCCATGTCTCGAGGAATGGGCCGGGCAGCGGGGCCGACAACCGCTGCATGCAGCAGGTTTCGTAACCCCCCCTTTCCCTATCCCCCCTTTCGTTCGGCCCGAGATGTCCCGGCCGACGCACCCGCACCGATCCTGGCCCGGCCCGTCCGTGGCCTGGGATGCCGTTTAGCGAGCGCCAAATAGAAGAATCGGGGCGCTCGAACCCTCCCCCTCAGAAACCGTGGGGGGCAGGGGTGGGGTTCGCAAGTGGCCCCCTAACAGTGCGCCGATCCCCGTGGGCCCAGGACTGGCCTGCCGTGGCCCGCTGGCCGCCCCCCCGAGATGATGCCCTGGCTCGCCGCGGCGTTCTCGCGCAGCTCCTCCCGCGCCGCCAGCAGCTCCCCCCGCGCGGCCGCGGCGGCCCCGGCCTCCGCCGCGGCGGCCTCGGCGGCCCCGCGCCTCGCCCGGCCCTCCGCGCCGCGCAGCTGGCGGCACTCCCCGCGCGCCTCGGCCAGCGCGCGCTCCAGCGCGCCCGCCTCCTCCCTCCACTCCTCGGCGCGCTCGCCCTCGGCCCGCAGGCCCCGGCGCTCCGACTCCCACTCCCGCCGCGCGGCCGCCGCCGCCGCCTCGGCCGCGGCGCGCTCGGCCTGCCGCAGCCCCTGGCGCAGGGCGGCCGCCTCGGCCTCCGAGCGCCGCAGCGCCGCGGCGGGCTCGGGCGGCGGGGAGCCCTGCGGCTGCTCCTGGGGGACGCCAGGAGGCACCCGTGCCGCTGCTCCCCCGGACCTCTCCCGGCGTGCGCTCTGACCAGGAGTTCGAGGCGAATCCAGCGATGGCGACGAGGGCCTCCCAGGAGGCCGGTAAAAGGGATAACGAGGGAAGGGTAGCGGTATGGACACCTTTTCCTCCTCTGAGCTCCTGCGGCTGTTCGTCCTCCTCCTCCTCCGCTTCCTCCTCGCTCTCGCCGCCGGTGTCGTCCCTGGGCCCGTGGCGCCGCTCCTCGGCGAGGTCCCTGGCGTCCTCCAGGGTGGTTAGCCACTGCTGCGCCAGCTGCGCGCTCTCGGCGCGCAGGTGCCAGGAGCGCTCCTGGATGACCACCTACCACGCCACCCCAACCCATCCCGAAGATCCGAATTTCGGATTGGGGGGGCACGGGTTCCACCCGTCTTTTCAATGTTTCCCGACGCCCCCCTCCCCACCGGGAATGGAAGGCAAATTGGGGCCTCCGGGTTGGGTTGGAGTGGTTTGGTGGGTGGTGACAAGAGGCCCCCGACGTGGAGTGTGAGTAGATTCGGTCTAAGGATCGCGCCGCATCGGTGATGCGCGGAGAACATCGAGCTCCACGTCAAGACGCATTGCCGTTGTATCGGCGATGCGGCGCGATCCCCCGATCCTCCGACTCCACCTATTCGGACCCCATTTGAAAGGCCTACAGCTCCTGGAACTTCAGGACCAGCTCCCGGGGGTCGGCGGACGTCCCTCCCAGGCTGAGGCGCGCGTTGCGCAGGTCAAACCTCTTCTTGACGGACTTGGAGCCCTCCTTGTGGAAGTAGCGCAGCTCGTTGTCCTCGAGCACAAAGTACCGCCTCTGCCAGCGGCTGCGCCCCCGACCCGACGAAAGCTTGAGCATCCAGCCCTGGAGCTGCACTTCTGCCGAGGCCGCCTCCTGCACCTCTGGGTGAGACATCCTCTGAGGCGGCGCGGCTCTGGGGCGTCGCGGGGTGCTACTCCCCAGGGCGCCCCCCTGAAAAAAGGTCTGCTTGCCTGAACAAGCATGGCCTGAGCCCAATGGCTAGGTCGACCGGCTCACCGGTGACCGATGACCGACAACCGACGCCGACAACGACGACGCCCACCACCGCCACCGCAACGACGACGACGACGACGATGACGCCGACCCCATGGGCGACGGCGAGGGCGTGGGAGGAGCGCTTGCTTCCTACTTGCCTCAAGCCCATCCTCGGAACATACAGATGCTCAAAAATACTGATGTCCCCAACTAGAGGGCAGAAAATCCAAAACGATAATAACCACCTCGACACGCGAAGCCGGTTAGTTAACGCACCCAAAGAAGGAATCAAACAGGGCAGGGCTGTTTAGTAAACGCCCAGGGCCGTTTAGTAAGGGCCGTTTTGTCCTCCTTTGACTAGCACTGCTTGCACAAAGGGGGCCCTACTTCTTGTCTGCTGCCTGGCTGGCTGGCGACTCAGGGCGCGCAGGGGCCGGCGCCTTGCCGAGCCGTCGCACGGCGGCCGCCCGTGGTCACCCCGGGGCCGCCCCGTGCGCTCGCCCGTGCCCACAAGGACCTCTTCCTGGACTCGACGCGCGTGCCGTGAGTGCGTGCTGCTGGCACGGCCCCCTTAGGAGGGGGAGGATGAGGAGGAGGAGGAGGAGGAGGACTGAGGAGGAGGAGGAGGACTGAGGAGGAGCAGGAGGAGGAAGAGGAGCAGGAGGAGGAGGGGGAGGAGGACTGAGGAGGAGGAGGGAAAGGAGGAGGGAAAGGAGGAGGAAAAGGAGGAGGAGGAGGAGGAGAAGGAGAAGGAGGAGGGAAGAGGAGGAGGAGGAGGAGGAGGAGGAGGAGGAGGAGGAGGACGGGTCGCCGAAGCCCTTCGGGGGCCTCTGAAGCTAGAAACGGCCGCGGAGGTTGGGAAGCCTTGCTGCAAGCCCGTCTCTCCCGCCTGTGTTACTCTGTGTACGCAAGCACGTACGCAACTAATTCAGAATGAACCACACGGACTGTACATGGCAGCTCATATGTATACATCAACACACACACACACACACACACACGCACACACACACACAGATACCACATATATGTATATATATATATACATATACGTAATATCGCACGAAATAGTGACGCCCCATAGGTTGCATCACATGGACTGCATACCAAACATGTGTGTCACCACGTGCGTCGCACAGCGGAAGTGCAAGAGCCCACTGCTTGGAGCCCACGCTGGCTGATTCCTGAAACACGGAGAGCGGCCGCCCGCACGTTCCTGCCACGGAGCTCGGAGCCTGGGCCATGGCCAGCGCAGAACATACAATAATAAAAGAGCAAGAGAGAGAGAGAGAGAGATACACACATACATACATACATACATACATACAGACAGACAGACAGACAGGCAGGCAGGCAGACAGACAGACAGACAGGCAGGCAGACAGACAGACAGACTTACATACATGCGTGCATGCATGCATACATACATACATACGTATTTACATACATGCATAAATGCGTACATATATACATGCATACATATATTCATGCATACTTACTTACATACATACATACATGTTTGCATGCGTGCATGCATACATGCGTGCGTGCGTGCGTGCGTGCGTGCATGCATGCATGCATGCATGCATGCATGCATGCATGCATACACACACACACACATACATACATACATACATACGTGCATACATACATACATACATAAATCAATACATGTTTACATACATACATACATGCATGCATACATACATACATACATATACACATACACATACACAGACACAGACACATACACATACACATACACATACACATACACATACACATACACATACACATACACATACATACATACATACATACATACACACACATACATACATATATACATACATACATACATACATACATACATACATACGTACATACATACATATATACATATACACACACATACATACATACATACATGCATGCATACATACATATACACACATACATGCATGCGTACATGAATACATACATACATACATACATACATGCATGCATGCATACATACATACATACGTACGTACGTATGTACGTACGTACGTACGTACATACATACATACATATATGCATGCATACATACAGACATATACATATATGTGAGAGAGCGTGATCCACCGCCGCTTTACTGTGGAAAATTGCCAACCTTTTCCTCCGGAACCCGGGGGTCGCCCCCCCCCCCCCCTCCGAAAATTCCCCCCCCCCCCCCCCCGCTGGAACCCCTCCCCCCCCCCCCCCCCCCTCCAACGGCAAAAACCCCCCCCTCCCCTAACCCCTCCCCCCCCCCCCCCCCTCCCGCTCGAAAACCGGGGGGTCACTACCGTTCGAATCCCTCCCCCCCCCCCTCCCCTTTCGGATCCGAAACAGGGGGGGATCACTACCGGTTCGACCCCCTCCCCACCCACCCCTCTCACCGCCAGCAAACGACTCCCGGTCCCTACCACCGTCGTCCTCACCACATCCCCCACTGTTGTTCCCAGCACCACTGTCCTCACCACCACTGTCCCCACTGGTTCCACCACCGCCCCTACTGTCCCCACCAGTGCCACCACCACTGTCGCACTGTCCCCACTGTCCCCACCACTGTTCCCACCACGGCTCCACTCTCCCCACTGTCTCCACGGCCCCAACCACTGCCCGACTATCCCCACTGTCCCCACTGTCCCACTGACTCCGCCGCTGTCCCACTGAGCTGTCCCACTGTTCCCACCAGTCCCCACTGTCCCCACCACTGTCCCCACTGTACCTCTGTCCCATTGTCCCACCGCCGTCCTCGCCACCGCCTTTACCAGTGTCTCCACCACCATTGTACCCTCCACTGTCCCAGTGTTTCCACCTCATTCCCATTGTCCCCACACCACTGTCCCCACCACCACCGTACCCACCACTGTCCACTGTCCCCCCTGTTCCCACCATTGTCCCCACCACTGTCCCCACCACTACCGGCCCTCTACTGTCCCACCACTGTCCCACTGTCCCCACCACTGTCCCCACTGTCCCCACTGTCCCGCTATCCCCTCACCACTGTCCCACCAACACCGTCCCCACCTCTGTCCGCACCCCCGCTTGGTTTTCGAGAGGGGGGGGGGGGTTCGAACCGGTAGTGACCCCCCCCCTTTTCATGATGAGCAGGGGGGGGGGGGGGGGGGGGGGGGGGGGTAGTGACCCCCCCCCTTTTCATGATGAACTGGGGGGGGGGGGGGGGTTCGAACCGGTAGTGACCCCCCCCGGTTTTCCGGAGGGGGGGGGGGAGGGTTCGAACCGGTAGTGACCCCCCCCGGTTTTCCGCCAGCAGCGGTAGAACACGCTCTTTCATATATGTATACATCATAACCATCGCGCGCGCTTCGCGCGTGCTCAAAGTTCTAGCTAGGCTTGATAGGCTAACCCATGTAATATCATGAGTGTCGCTTCTTGAGCCCAGGGACTCCCTTGGATGCCCTGCGCAAGCCTCGGAATCGTATAGAAGGGGAAGTGTGGGAACGCAGAAATTATTAATTTCCTTTAGGTATTCAACGACTTGGGGCCCTCAAAGGCTCCCTGGGTTCTTCTTGGGGAAGTGAGGGGGTCCGAACTGTGGCCTGTCGTGCAAGAGTAGACCGGGGGCCAAACTTGGACAAAAAACTGGAACTGTGGGACTTCCACGTTTTTCCTGTTCATCGGCGCTGTTCGGCGCTGTTTTTTGTTTGTGCCTCGCGGGTTTTGTTAATCGAGCCACTCAAGGGTGTGGGATCTTCCGGACCCCCTGGGGGTTCTGGAGGCCTCCTGGGGGCCTGGAGAGCCGTCGGAAGGGTGTCTCGGGCTGCGCGGGAGCGTGTTGGGCTGTTCTTTACGTTCTGGGGGCTCCGTGGGGTCGTGTTGGGCTGTCCTTTGGCGTCTTGGGGCCTCCCCAAGGAGCCGGGAGGCGCGGTACCGGCCAGATGTCAGGGGATGTGTAGGACCCCCGAGTAGGAGCTCCACTTTGAAAAAAAAAAAAAAAAATCTGGGAATTCCCTCTTTCTTTTCAAAACCCTCGATCTTCGAGGGTTGATTGGAAAAACCATTGGAAACCAACGATTTGACCCTCTTTGGGCTCTCTCGGGACGACTCTCGCAGCTCTCTTGGGCTGTTCTTGGAGCCTCGTCGGGGTCTCTTTGGGGCCTCTCAAGGATCGGGGATGTGTTGGGGGCCTCTGGGGGTCCCGGAGGTCTCTCGGAGGTCTCTCGGAGGTCTCTGGAAGCCTCCTGCTCCCTCCCGCTCTTGGGCCCATCTTGGGTCTGTTCTGGGGTGGTCTGGGGCTGTCCTGGGCGCCTCTTCGGCAATCTTGGAGCCTTCTTGGCCCGTCTCGGGGCCGTCCTGAGGGTCTCGTGGGTGGTCTTTTCGACAGAGGCGTCGGCCATGGTACATGGTCTCTACCTCGCAGCACATCGGTGCCAAGCGTCGCTGTACAAGACGCGAGGTGATCTGGGCTGGAGCGCGAAACAAATTCATCGGGCTGTCACACGAGCAGTCGGCTCGAAAAGTTTGCCAAAACGCTTGCACACCAAAAGCGAGCAAGACGCACCTGTATGTATGTTGTTGGCGTGTGAGCTGACCGCCCAGATGAGCTGAACGCTCAAACCATTATGATAGATGGAACAGGATGGCGCTTCGGACAGAACAACTGGTCAAACTTGCTGTCAACCGCCCACGCCACGTGCTGGACCGCGGCGCGGGTCCGGGGCGGCGCAGGACAGCGCTGTGTACTAGACCGCGCTGAGGAGACGAGGGATGCTCCAGTCGAAACGCCACCACATGAATTGTGAAACCGACCTGTATCTTGGGCGGGAGGCAGAGGAGACGAGGTGAGTGGGGCACTGGATGTCAGAGCGCCGCGCAGCAATACCCGCTGACGCAACGCTCTCATGACTCATAACTGGATGGCATGACGGCGGGTCGCCCACGCCACCCGAGACTGACTGTACACTAGCTGAACCATGCAGTAAAGAGTTGCACACCTGGGGCAAGCCCGACTGTCTTAGGACAGTGAGGGGTGCATTGGATGTCGCAGCGCTGTGCAACGAAATAGTCGCTTTACAAATGGTGGCTTGGGGGCGGGGCGTCTACGCCACCGGAGACTCGTTGCACACAAGGAGCAGCCCACGAGGGTGCCGGAGAGGTGTACCTTCCTCTGCTAGATGCGCGCCCCTCCTTGCTCTGCACGCCTCCTGGCCGCGCACGGGCGACTCTGGGCCTGCCGCGATGGTCACCCTGAGGGCGCCAGGCTCAGCGCGCGCTGATTACCTCGCGGATCCCCGGCGGCCGCCGTGGCGCCACCACGGGCACGACCGGGTGGGGACGCAAGCCAGGCATTGCCCGCCATCGCCGAGCGGTGCCGCCCTCGCTCGACTCGCCCTCGTCCTCGTCAACGAAGGACAAGCTACCCCGACGGCCGAAACCCTGCCTTCCCCGCAGCTGCATATACCACCTGCCCCAGGACGTGTCTGCGAACGAGACCCTCTCGGAGATCACGACGGCGGAGGCGGAGGAGGAGCTGAGTAATTCCACTGGAAGCATGTGTGTCTGAAAATTGTGTCACAGAAAGGTGGCGCAACAGAGTACTGAAGTCCAAATGCCTCGAGCCAAAAAGGCTTGAGCCAAAATGGCTACGGATGGTCTTGGGGCGGTCTTGGGAGCCTCTTCGGCGCTCTTGGACCGTTGGAAGCTCGAAAACGCGAGAAGCCAAAAACATTTCGGGGAGACGTAAGACCCGGGTACGGGGGACTCGGAAATCCCCGACGAGGTCGTCAAAAAAATGACGAGGCCGAGCCTGCATTTTGACGAGGCCTCCCGCTGCAGACATCCCGCGAAACTCCTCCTCGTCAAAATCCGAGGCGCGGTCGTCAAAAAACGATGGCGAACCCGAGTCCCGGCAAACCCGGGTCTTACGCTCCCCCGAACATTGAAAAATATGAAATCGACGATTTTGGCCTCGTCGGGTCGTCCCGGGACGCCCCTCGGACTTCTCCGGGGGTCTCTTGGAGGCCACCTGGGAGCCTCGAGAGCCTTCGGAAAGCTGACTTGGGCTGGTTGGGAGCGTCTTGGGCCATCCTTTCGCATGTTGGGGGATCCTGGGAAGCGTCTTGGGCCCTCCTGGAGATCTGAGGAGGCTTCCCGGAAAGGCCGGGGGAGCGGTACCGGGAGCGTCCCCGAGATGTCACGGGGAGGTGTGGGACACGGGGCCAGGGGGGGCGGCATGTTTTGTATCATACATTACATCATATGGCATGACATGACATGACATGGCATGACATTACACTGTATTACATTACATTACACTCCATTACATTACATTACAATACAATACCTTACATTACATTACATTACATTACATTACATTACATCACATTACATTACATTACAATACAATACATTACATTACATGACATTGCATTACACTACATTACATTACATTACATCACATCACATTACATTACATTGCATTGCATTACATTTCATTACATTACATTACATTATCCTACATTACATTACATTGCATGATTTTACATTACATTACAAGCATACATACATGCATGCGTGCATGCATGCGTGCACACAGACAGACAGACAGACAGACAGACAGACAGACAGACAGACAGACAGACAGACAGACAGACAGACAGACAGACAGAGAGAAGCCCTGCCACTGGGGAGGCTGCAGGGCAGGGGGGACATGAACAGGTCACCTCACCGATCTTCACTGGGCCCCGCCTGGGCCCGGGATCGGTGCCTGCGCTTCCCGTGGCCAAGCCAGGACGGCCACAGCACCGCTCCTGGGCCTCTGGTGGGCCCCGCCTGGGCAGGTGAGGCGGTCAACTGACGGTCCCCCGAGAAGGGTCGGAGCCTCTTGTGTGGCATGCTCAGGGGGCCTTGTCTGTCCTGTCGCGCCGCGATGCACGTCGAATCCGTGCCGAGTACGTGTCGAGCGAGGCGAATCCTTGTCGAGTCCGTGTCGAATCCACGCCGGATCCGCGTCGAACCCACGTCGGAGTACAAGCAAAGACTGCCAAATACAGGACAGGACAGGTCCTACGAAGATGCAAAGTAAAACCTCCATGAACAGCCCCGAAGGCAGCGCAGGCCCTCAGGAGGCCGAAAGACAACTAAAGACCGTCCCACGAAGGATTATAATACCGCATAATGACCCGCCCAGACGTCCCCAAGATGGTTCAACCAAGCCTCTTCGGGACTGGTCGCAAAGAGCATCGCTCTCACCACGACAAGATATCCCCGACGGGCCCCCAGCGGGATCCCAACTGGCCCCCAAGAGAGCCCAAAGAGGGTCTCAAGAGGCTCCGAATAAGCCTTGAAGATGCGCTTCAGAGGGTTGAAGGGGGTGAGAACGATGCTGCAGATGAGGGAAGGTGTTCAAGACCTGCGCTGGTTCAAACAGGGCAGTCAACTGGAACGGGCACCCAGCTCAGCCTCTTCCTGCTGCGATGCTTAGATGTAGCGGTGGCGGGATGTGCCGCGGGAAGCTGGAGATTCCCGAACACGATCGAATTAAAAGATACACGGCTTCATGTCACGGCTTGAATAGCTACTGGAAGCAGTCAAAGAGATGCTCGAATCGCCGAGACGGGAGCGATAAGTTGAAAACGAACCACCCTGCCTTGCCCCCCGAGAAGCTCCTTGAAATGTTCGAGCCTGGAACATCCGCGGCCCCCATTGGGGCCAAGGCTGCGCGGCTGAGGTTTCCTGCTCCCTGAGTCAGTCCCAGCTTTGAGCCTCCAATGCTACATTTATACTTTCTGCCTCCTACTGTAAATTGTTACTGTCCGCGCGAGCGAGAGGGGGGACCGAAAACCACCCTGGACACCACGCCCGAATCTCGTTGCCGAAATTTGATTGCTGGGGGGTGGGGAGGGGGCCCAGGACACCTCAAAACATGTAGATTCGAGAACATCACAATTCCTTGCAAATTGCGCTAGATGCGCGCTCCCGAGACCAGAATCCATTGTAAATGACTCCAGATACGCAGCCTCGAGGCCAGAATACTCACTGAATTACGCCAGATTCTTGCCCCCTAGGCCAGAATCCTTTTTGCAAGCTGCGCCTAACTCCGGCGCACAAAGCCAAAATCCTCAATACTCTGAGCCGGAGGCGCACTGCCGAGGCCAGGATCGCTTGTAAATTACTCCACGCTCGCGCTCCCGAGAACGAATCCCCTGCAAATCAGCCCCGGCTCGCGCCCCCGAGGCCATGAGGCCCTCGCAAATTACGCCACGCTCCCGACCCCAGGGCCGCGACTGGTGGGCTTGTTTTCCACCGCCATCACCACAAGTAGGAGGGGGAGGGGGTCCTCCTCCTCCACCTCCTCCTCCTCCTCCTCCTCATCCTCCTTCCCCCCTCCAACTGATGGTGGCGGTGGTGGAAAACACGCCAGTCAACGACCCCTCCTGAGTCAACCCCACCCGTGATGGGCAATGTATCCAAATGGGCGACGAGAAGAAACGGAACTTACGCAAGATGACGCAGCGACCTTGCGCGGTGCCTTGCGCGGGCCTCCAGCGCGGCACGCTGTCTTGGAGACGAGCGCACCCACGCGCGACCTCACGCGGGCAGCTTGCGCGCCAATGTCGGCGTCGGCGCAGTCGACCCCGCATCCTTCATCACTCGCATGGCTTCAAGACGAATGTCTTCGTGCAGTGAGTGCCCTCCCGCCCTCTGGCCCCCTCCCCTCTCCTGCAGCCTGACGTGCCCGAGCCCTGCCCACGAGAGCGCGCGTGCGGATCGGCTCTGCCGCGCCGCGGCCAAAACAAAAGAGACAAAACTTCGAGACGGCGTCCCGATACGGCTCCGACGCATCCCATCTCAGGACAGAACGGGGGTCGGCGGCAGAATGCGAGGCCCTCACGGACACACCGTGGATGTCGAGACGCCCAGCGCGCCCTCCGGGCACGCCTGGGGGCGCGCGAGGACGTGTGCCACGTCTGCGGGAAACGAAAGAAGGCGCAGGATGGTGAACAGGGAAAGGAGGAGGAGGAGCATGAGGGAGAGCAGGACGACGACGACGACGACGACGACGACGACGACGACGATGCACGCATCTGGAGCACAGTTCGACGTCTGAGCAGACTAGACGCTCAAGGACTGGCTTACGGTCGAAGACTTCGTGCATGCGCACGCCCCATGAGGATCCGCAACGGATTAATAGCTACATCCGACACTCGAGCACAAGCTACAAACGAGGAGCAGCGCCCCTGCTGCACAGGCAGAAGCTGAAGTTGATATGCGGGAAACAGCAGAATTCAAAACGGATGCGTTAGGATGCACAGATCCAAAGGGTTGGCAAGAATGTTCCCAAAGCGTGTTTCGGAACGCTCAGGACGCAGAACAGCAGGAGGAGGGAGAAGGAAGGAGGAAAGTAGAGGCATACAGTGCTTTAGCAATCACTTAGTAGAGCCCACGAGCTGGTAGTATCTCTTACCCCGAAGAAGTCCAAGCATGCTTCTGATCATGGTGCTGTCCCACCCCGCAGCTCGCATCAAGCAGTCACATCGCGAGAAGAAGAGTGAGGATCGAATGCACGTAGGCAGGCCGACCCCTACGCCCGCCCCGCTCACGCGCCCTCAGGTTCTGGGGTGCGCCGGGAGTCAGGGGTAGAAAGAGGAGAAGGAGAAGGAGAAGGAGAAGGAGAAGGAGAAGGAGAAGAAGAAGAAGAAGAAGGCGCTGAAGACGACGTCCGCAACGGAAGGGCACGGCCCGCTGGCCTGGAGCTCAGAAGAGCTCGAAAACATGTCGAAGAGAAGATAGAGGAGAAGAAGGAATAGGAGGAGGAGGAGGCGGAGGAGGAGGACGAAGACGAGGAGGGCCCTCCAGGGTGCCCGCCGACCATCTCAGCAGCTGCTCGAAGGCGTCGGCGGGCGGCACCCCAGAGGGCTTCAGCAAGTCTGGCGGCAGGTCCTCGGCGAACCGACGCAGATGAAAGAGGGCGGGGAGGAGAGGAGGGGGGGCAGGAGGAGGAGGAGGAGGAGGAGGAGGAGGGAGAGGAGGAGGAGGAGGAGGAGGAGGAGGAGGAGGAGGAGGAGGAGGAGGGAGAGGAGGAGGAAGAGGAAGACGCATCAACGATGTTGCAATAAACCCTCCCTCCAAATTCCCTCTTCATCGGTCCCTCGTCTCATCGGGGGAAATGTCCTGCTGGAAGACGACCGTCAGAGAATCCCCAATCGTGCCAAAGCACACTCCCTGGAACTCCAACGCCGCGAATCAACATGACGGTTGCGCCCTGACAATCCTAGATCGTGCCAAAACACCGTTCCTGGGACTTCAACACGGCGAGTCAACATGAATGCTTCGCCCTGACAATCCTAAATCGTGCCAGGGCATCATGCCTGGGACTTCAGCACCGCAAGACAACCCTACATCGTGCCAAGGCACCATGCCTGGGACTCCAAGCATACCAACCCTTGGAACGGTAACAAACGTTGAAGACGGATGCGCGCGGTGCTAAAGCGAGAACAACATGTTGAACAGGGACCGCCATCCGTCCCTGGGGCTGCTGCATACTTCTAAAACGACTGTGCGCGGCGCTAACGACGAGAGCCACATGTTGAAAACGGGCCGCGCTCCATCCAGAAAAACGGCTGCGAACTCTCAAACCACATGCATGTGTGCGGCGCTAAAACGAAAGCACCACTTGGGAAACGGGCCGCCCTCCATCCTTGGAGCTGCTGCATGACTGGAAGGAGCATGTGACCCGAGGACAAGCTTCTGGTGATGAGCCATGTTCCGATGCCCTCCCGAGCCTGGAAAAGGACCCCAGGAGGCCACTTCTGTTGCAAAAGAACAGGGCCCACCCCCAAGAGGACCCCTGCCTAGAGGAACAGCACACAGCATACAACTCAACATTAGAAACTCCGCGCTAATCCAAGAAGTCCCCGCGGAGCTCAACTAAGTTTATGGTGATGCAGGTGTTGCTTCCTCGATCTGCCCCATGGCGACCAAGGTCGGCCAGACCCACCGCTGCTGATGGTGCAACAATGGAACTGGCCCTGAGAGATGAACGCTGGAGCTGGCACCAAACCCTTGCCCTTCTCTCACTCTATGCTTTCTCTGCGGCGAGCGTTGGGCTCGTAACCCGCGCCTGCTACATCGAGCTCCGACGTTGCCAGACATCCGACGATGCTGTGTTTCAATGCGCAGCCCAAGAACGCCCGACCCCCTACCAGGGGCCAGCTGTTCGCCCCAGATGGTTCTTTCGATTGCCCAGGGGCCCGATGACGGGCCTCAGAGGCCCGAAAGCAAGGAAAAACACAACGATTGAAACATTATCTTGGCGAAAAGCCCATCCATCTGCAAGTTGTGAGTAACGCAAGTGTGAGTACCCTCTTCGGTGAAGCTCCCTGTGAAGCCACAAACGGTGTGAGGGAGGTGCCGAAACGGGTGCGGTTCCGGCATGCGACCGCAGCCACTGGGGCCTTCGGTGGAGCACAGTGTGAGCGGTAAACGTGCGCGGCGGTGCCACGCAAAAGCAGCCACTGGGGCCTTCGGTGGAGCTCCGAATGGGGGCACTAAGCATGTGAGGGGTGTGCGAAAAGGACGCGGCGGCGCCATGCGAACGCAGGCACTGGTGCCTTCGGCGGAACTCCCTGTGGGGCCACGAAACATATGAGGGTTGTGGCGACACGGGTGCGGCGGCGCCATGCGAACGCAGCCACTCGGGCCTTCGGTGGAGCTCCTGAGGGGGCCACGAAGCGTGTAAGGAGTGCGCCCAAACGGGCGCGGCGGTGCCATGCGAGCACAGCCACTGGGGCCTTCGGTGGAGTTCCCTATGGGGCCGCGAAACATGTAAGGGGTGTGCCGAAACAGAAACATGGAAGGAGGAGGAGGAGGAGGAAGAAGAAGAAGAGAAAGAAGCGGAAGGAGGAAGGAGGAAGGAGGACGCGGGGCGATGTCTCCTCAAAACATGGACCCAACATCACAGGATGATTGAGAAAAAGTATAATCGGACCTGGGGGTGCAAAAGGTATCGATGCCGCTGCTCCCCAGACCTCTTCTGGGATGCGTTCTGGCCGGAATGTCGAGGAGGATCCAGCCGTGGTGACGAGGACTCTCCAGGGCGAGTGGCGGCATCATGACCTTCTCCAGCTCAAAGATCTGAGTTCTCCGCCTTCTGCACTCCAGCCCCCCCCCTCTGAGCCATAGGCTCATCCGGGCCGCCGTCGCGCCGTCGTCGTCGACGTCGCCAGCGTCGTTGTCGACGCACCGGCGTGGTCGACGTCTTGGTCGTCTGGGTCGTCGTCGCCAGCGTCATCGTGTGTGTGTGTGTGTCTGCCGTCGTCGACATCGTCGTCGCCGCGCGGGAGGGTCGACGCGCTCCTCGACGCCGGCGCCGCCGCCGGCCAT